AAAAACAGTCATAAAAACTATTACATCTTAAGTCGCAGAAAATAAACCTCCTTCTCTAATATAGGAAGATCCAACAGACATCTCTTTAAAAGATCCAACTGACATACCCTAAAAAAAAAGCCTTAAACCAGAAATTTAAATACGGAGGCAAGAACACACCAGGAAAAAGGCATGTCGAACCCCACCTGTATATCTGTTTTCAACCATTTGGAGTCAAGTCGAGCCTGGGCAACCAAACAGAAAGATTCAGAGGGCATCTTTCCTCCAGCTTCTTCCCAGTTGCCAGGCCTGCAAGTAAAACAGAAATATTGAAGCCCTAAAGCATTTTATTTTAAAAAATTTTACAAAGAGCCCTCCCACAAGGTTTAATGTAGCAAAAAAAAAAAAAAAAAAAAAAGAGAAAGAAAAATGAAAAAACAGAAAAAGGAAAGAGAAGAAGAGAGTTGGGGGAGGGGAAGTGAGAGGAGGAGAGAGGGAAAGATGGAGAGAGGGAGGAAGGAAAAGCCTACTTTCAATATAGGTAGGGTTCGCCTAGTTTCTGTACCACGTTGGCGAGACCTTGAGAATAGTCGGTCCTTGGAGGCCAAATCACAATGTCATCCCCTTTCCCTTAAATCCAAAACGTATACACACAAACAGAAGACAGGAAGCCCATCATTTCAACGACAAATGACACCGGCATGCACCTGCCGCTTTACCCTAGACCAGTGTGTGGTGCGTGAAACAAATTAATCACAAGTCACGTCAGCAGAAAAACCCACAACAATAATCACTTAGAAATGGAAAGACAGCCGTAGATCGCGCCGCGGGCGGTCCGCGCAGGCCCAGGTCCGGCCGCCGCGCCAACACCCGCCGCCCCAGCTCAGCCGCCCCCGGCCCGAGGCTCACACCGCCCCGGCCGCCGGCCGCCCTTGCGCCCCGGGACGAAGACCTGAGGCGCAGCAGCCCAGCCGCCTCGCCCTGCCAGCTTGAGGACACAGCCTCCCGGCCACCGCTGTCTCAGCCGGCGCTCGCGATCCCGGCGCCTCTCGCGACCCGAGGGGCGGGCCGACGCGGGCCTGCCGCCCCCGGAGCCCAGCCAATCGCAGCGAGGCAGCTCCGCAGTCACAGCCAATGGGGAAGAGGAGCCCCTTCGTCGCTCCTCTCGACTCTCCAGCTTCCTACAATCCCGCTCTTCTTCCTCCTTGGAGTTCCCTGCTGCAGCCAGAGCCAACCGCAGGCGCCGGAAGGAGGGACTTCCGCCGCATGCACGCACGCTCGCGCGCACTGCCGTCCAAAAATTCGCCCGGTACCTGAACGCTCCCTGTAACGCCAGCAGAAGGGGCAGGATGTAGGGCGGTGCGGGTCAGGTCGCGAGGCTGACACCCCTGTCCCAGGCTAAGGACACACCTCCGGGAGTCCGCTCCTGCCTGCAAGAGCTTAACCCTGTCTGTCCCACTGAATGCAACAAAAATCGTGAGCAGAATACATGGAGCAGTTATATGAGGACAAGGAAATCAGCCCTCGTCTAAACCAGTGATCATAAAACAGAATTTAAGAAATGTGAAACGGTTGAAATCATACGAAGTATGTTCTTTGATCATAAGGAAATTAAACTACAAATCAATAAATAGCAGGACAGTCTCCGAACACTTGTAAATTAAACACTGCACGTCTAAATAATCTATAGATCAGAGAAGAAATCTCAAAGGAAGTAGAAAATAATTGAATAAAAATTAAAATACAACATAACAAAATTTGTGAGATGCAACTAAGCCAGTGATTAAAGTCAAATTTTGTCAAGTATGTAGTAAAGTGATTAAATTCCATCTTGAGATCTAACACACTGTGAAGATATGATTTGAAGCTATAAGTGCACACACTCAGCACCCAGAGATTTAAAAGTCAACAAGCAGAGGGACCAAGGCCTAATCGTGGTAGGAGTTGTTGCCCATACTCAGAACCTAGAAATCTGGAATGTGAAAAGTAGACTGGGCAAGGCCCTGTTGTCCTGGGGGTGGTTCTGTTTATTCACATCCTTTGAGTGACAGAGCAGTGAGGAAAAGGCCAGGGTTATTAGAAGTAGTTGCCCATTCTCACAATATAGGTATATTTGTTTTCTACCAACCAGAGGATTTAATATCTGGTATCCTGGGTGTAGCTGCCCATCCTCAAAATCTGGACATTCTGGATCCAAAACAAAGAGGACATGAGGCTTTCTTGCTTAAGAAATACTTGCCCAGAATTGGATCCTAGACACCAGAGATTCACAAACAGAACAAAAGAGGTAACCTGGATGTTATTGCCCATTTTTAGAACCTAGGGAACTTGGGTCCAAGAAGCAAATGACAAAAGGCCATGATGCTCATGTAGGAGTTGCTCTTCCTCAGAACCTGGAAACATTGGGTCCAATGAAAAGGGGAGACAAGGCCTTGTTGTCCAGGGAAGAATTGCTCATACTTGGATCCTGTACAGAAAATCTTTAACAAGCAGAGGAGACAAGATTTAGTATTCTGGAGACAGTTGCTGATACTCCAAACCTACAACTTGGGATTCAACACATAAAGGACACAAGGTGTTTTGCCCTGGAAGTAATTACCATTACTCAAAACCTAGAGAATTGAAATAGCACAAGCAGAGGACAAATGGCTTTCTTGCCCAAATGGTAGTTACCTATACTCTGAACCTAGAGACTTTGATTCTGACAAGTACAGGAATCAAGGCCTCCTTGTGCTATAATAATTACCCTTACTTGGAACCTGGAGAGTTGGGGTCCAAAAAATAGAAGAGGCAAGGTCATAATGCCCAGTGAGTAGTTGGTTTTTTTTTTTTTTTAAAGACAGAGACTCGCTTGTTGTCTGGGCTAGAGTGTCATGGTGTGATCATAGCTCACTGCACCTCCAACTCCAAGACTCAAGAAATCCTCCCACCTTGGCCTCCCAGAGTGCTAGGATTACAGGTGTGAGCCACCACACCCAGCCTGGGAGTAGTTGCTTTTACTTGCAACCTAGACACCTGGATCCAACAAGCCAAGGAGAAAAGGTTCAGGACTTATACTAGATTGAGAAGTGTAATCTCAATCTTGTTCAGACTACCCTCTTCACATGTACATATGAAGCCAGAATCCTTGTAGAGATTTGAGAATTTGTAGATCAGAAAAATTCTACCTACTGAATAAAAATAACAAAAAAAAAACTGTTTTAGTACCAAATGAAAACAAAGTTTAAAACATCCTCTCAGAATGTTTAAACATAGAACTATATATTTTTGAGGTTTGAAAATGACTCTACCATTCCCATGGCCCGGAAAACTAAAAGCCAAGCACTTGTCCCATATTGGCAGCATAGTGGGGAACCTGGTAGAGTCAAACCCCAAACCCCTCTGAAGGGAAAGACACTTTTATTACATTACCCTCTGTATTCCTACAGGTCAAATCAGCCAAACGTGAACTATAAATTTTGTATGAATTACAAAATACACAAGGAAAATAACTACCATGCATAAGTGCTGATTCTGACCACCAAGGACTTTGGATGTTAGGTTGATCGGATAAAAAATATAAAGAAATATATATTTTGATAAATACAAGATAGAATTTAAAATCCTGAGAAAACAAGAGAGTAAAAAGAAAAGAAAGAAAGAAAGAAAGAGAGAAACCCCAAGCAAATATTAAAAAGAAACAATAAAACTTCTCATAACAAAAAATTAAATCATCACACCCAGCCCAGGGCGGCTGGGACTGGGTGGGTCTTGTTCCTGCACTCCTTGGCTCCTCACCAGGGTGGCTTAATAAAAAAGAAAAAATAAATAAAATCATCAAAATATGAAGCTCAAATAATGGTTTAAACCAGGGATCAGCAACCTATGTCCTATGGGATGGTTGCCTATTTCCTCAAAAAAGCTTTGTTGGAACATAGTTACACTTATTTATTTTTGTATTTTTTTGGCTTCTTGAACTACAACTGGAGTTGAGTAGTTGCAACCTTGTCTGTATGTCTGACAGTTTAAAATAATTATTATCTGGCTCTTTTTAAAAAGTTTGCTGCCAAGTGTAGTGGCATGGGAAATCTAGAGGGCTACTTGCATGTGCAGGGTTCTGTGCATGCTCTGGAAATACCTGAGCAGGACCTAAGATCACCTGTGGTTGACCAGGAGACTGTCAAAGCAGGAAGAGAAGGCTAGGGCAGAACTTTAAACTGCCTGAGTGTTGAAGGCATGCCCCAACACACACACACACATACACACACACACACACACACACACACACACACACACACAGTGGAAGAGTTTTGGGCACTAGAAATTTAAGGAAATCTCTGTGTAATCATTAACTAAAAATTTAGTTAACAGAACAGAGACTTCGGTGGCTTTGCATGACAAATATAGACTTTACAGAATTAGTTTAGAAAGATCACTGAACAAGCAATAATAACTATAACAAGGAGCAACAACAACAAACCCTAGGGAGTGAGGGTAGAGAATTCAACTTAAAGAGTTGCCTCTTATTTATGAAACATGTAAGGAAAAAGAAAAGTCAGTCAATAGAAGCTGTCCCTGAGAAAGCCCAGATGTTGGACTTAATAAGACTAGACAAAGATTTTTTTTTTTGAGACAGTCTCACTCTGTTGCCTGCTTAAAATGCAGTGGCATCATCATAGCTCACCGTAACCTTGAACTCCTGGGCTCAAGTGATCCTCCTACCTTAGCCTCCTGAGTAGCTGGGCCTATAGATGCATGCCACCATGCCTGACTAAATTTTTGGCAGAGACAATGCCTCACCAGTTCAGGCTGGTCTTGAACTCCTGGCCTCAAGCAATCCTGCTGCCTTACCCTCCCAAAATGCTAAGATTACAGGTGTGAACCACTGCACCCCAACCAAGACAAAGATTTTAAATCGACTATTTTAATATTATTCAAAGAACTAAAGGAGACCATGTCTAAAGAACTAAAGGAAACTTTGAGAATGATGTCTCACCCAACAGAATATCAATAAAGAGATAGAAAACTTAAAAATAAACCAAGTAGGAATTCTGGTATTGAAAACTACAATAACTGAAATGAAAAATTCACTTGAGGAGCTGAAAAGCATATTTGAACATGGAAAAGAAAAAAAAAACAGTGACTTGAAGATAGGTCAATTGAAATTATCTCATCTGAGGAACAAAATGAAAACAGAATAAAGAAAAATGAACAGTGCCTCATAGTCACATGGAACACTATCAAGCACACAAATATACATATAATGGAGTTGCAGAAGGAGTGTAGAGAAAGAAAGGGGCAGAAAAAATACTTTAAGAAATAAAGGCCAAAAACTCCCCATATTTGAGAAAAGGCATGAAGATTAATATTTATGTCAAAGAAGTTCAACAAATTCCAAGAAAGATCATCTTGAAGACATCCACACTGAAATACATTATAGCCAATCATTGAAACCAAATACAAAGAGAGAATTTTGAAAGCAGCAAGAGAGAAGTAACTCATCATGTACAATGCATCTTCAATAAGATTAACAGTTGATTTCTCATTAGAAATAAGGCAGTGGGATGACATATTCAAAGTTCTGAGAGACAAAAGCTGTCAGTTAAGAATTCTATATCCAGCAAAACTGTCTTTCGAAAATAAAGGAGAAATTGGCCAGGCACAGTGGCTCACACCTGTAATCCTAGCACTTTGGGAGGCCAAGGTGGGAGGATTGCTTGAGCCCAGGAGTTCAAGACCAACCTGGGAAATAGTGAGACCCCATCCCTACAAAAAATAGAAAGATTAGCCGGGCATGGTAGCATGCGCTTAAAGTCCCAGCTACTCAGGAGGCTGAGGCAGGAGGCTCACTAGAGCCCAGGAGTTGGAGGCTGCAGTGAGTTATGATCATGACACTGCACTCTACCCTGGGCAACAGAGCAAGACCTGTCTAAATAAATAAATAAAGGGTAAATTAAGGCATTTCCAGATAAATTTAAAAAATTAGAGAAGTCTTTGCTAGCAGATCTGTTTTATAAGAAGTACTAACAGTGGGAGTTCTTCAGGTTCAAATAAAAACTCAGCAGACAGTAA